ACACTGCTAAATTAGGGACGGCTGGCGCAGATAGCCCTCGTGTAGCTTTGCGCGGAACCCATAACAAACAAACAAACCATCATACAAATACGGCACCAATCTTGGGAAGCAATAGACAGAGAATTCCTCATTTTTTCACGTGAGCATGTGGCAAATAGTTATATTTTTGTATAGGTGATTTTTAGATCTTGCTATGAAAGTGACCCTGAGTAGTTTAGTGTTTGATAGGTAATTCATACCAAAAGATTTGCGGTCTTGTTTAAATCTAAAATGTGTTACATTACTAATGAAATTATTATCCGATAAGACAACGTTTTATTTAGTAAGATCAACTCAAGATATCGTATGATTTCCATGATGAAATAAATATTTACATTAATTTTGAAACCAGAAAAACGATATCACTAAAAAGATTTGCTCTACCAACTGTAACTTAAGACAAGACCTTATTATGCGTAATACATTTCTACTTCTAGCAACTCCAAGACGACCAGCAGGATGAATCTGAAAATCCTTCGGAAACTATTCCTAGTATGAGCAGTTCCAGTAAGTAAATACAAAACTTTACTAGAAAAAAGTTTTATCACCGATTTGATATTTTGCTTTTCCATCAAATGAAAAAAAAAAAATTCAAAACGCAATTTTTATTTTCAAACTTCGTGTAGTCTGTTAACCTTTTCAACTTATGATAAAAGTTAATGACACTTAGTATCTAAAACTTTGTTAAATTTTATCATTTTGGAAAAATATTTTCATTATTATAACTTAGGACCTTCCATTTTTCTCTACTGGATACAATTATTTCGGTTTCTTTTTGTCTTTTTCTCTACAAATTATTTAAAAGTTAGAAGTAAACATTCACTATACGCAAAATACTGAATTATTAAAAGATATTATGTCATATTATTTATTTATTTGAAACTATTTATAACCATAAATATACGTTCATCATAAGCAAAATATTAAATTATTTAATTTGTTTTTTTAATACAAATTCTTCTATATCTGAGCCTGAGCGTTGAATAAGTTTTAACTATTTGTTTGTGCAATGGACTGATGCTATTACGTGTTAATTACAGTGACATCTAGCGTCAGAGAGAAGAAAATTAGTCTCGTAAAGAATTAGGACTTTTAAAAATATTCAAACTTATATATAAACAATATAAAAAAATAAGATTTATAAAGTACTCAAAGTTATTAACTTGATTTTCATTGTGTTAAATACTTTAGGTCTACAAGTAGAGTCGCCCTCTAGCGGTAACCTTAATTTCACATCTGCGGGAGAAGATGAGGAAACTCCATATTCGGGGCCTATTTTGAGTCAAGCACGTGCTTTGGTTGACTATACCCCGAGTCCATATGACAGAGATGCCCTTGCATTTAAGGTTCAGTATTTTCATTTTCCTCATTGTTTTGCATAACTGTAGAAAGATAGATAGAGAGAGAGAGAGAGAGAGAGGGGTAGACAGACGTTTTTCTTTTCCCTCTCTTTGCAATCGCTGAGTCATTGGATAATGAATCTCTGTCATTCACAGACAACTATACATAAAAATATGCCGAAAAAGGTTTTACCTTCCAAGAGGCACCTAGTAACAAAAAATGTAAAAAAACTTTTATAAGATCCTGCTAATTCTCACATTACATTTTGTACAACGTTTTTAAAGTTACTAATATTGCGTACGTCGTTTTTTCCAGAAAGGAGACATTATCGAAATCATTGCCAAATATAACACAGGGATTTGGGTTGGTACTATACAGGGGCGGATTGGCAGTTTCAAGTTTATCAATGTTCAAGAAATAGAAGGAGAGAAAAAAAGTCGCCAGCGGCACTCGAAAAGAAGTCCACAGTTAGCTTCTCTTGCTGCTATAAAGCCACAAAGCTTAGAAGATGTTTTAAATATGATTGGACTACAGGTACAGAATGTTAGATTTTATTTTTAAAAAATATATCGTCTCAGTAAAGAAACTAAAGAACGTGACGTTATTTTTTTTTGTTTTTGTGTGTTTTATTCCCACTACTATATATATATATATATAAGAGAAACAATTTTACACATATATTAAATAAAATGAAACTTATATTGTGATCTTCCTAATACATGTGATCACGCACTGCATTGGTTTATTTATCATGTCAATCTCTGTACCACTTTTTTAACGGTTTTCTTAGAAATAACTCGATCATTCACTTTGTAAAATATAAAGCTTTCAGGCTCTTGCTGTTTTTGACAATTCATCCATGTTCTCTAGAGGCATTTTCCACACATTTATCTAACCTGGCCGAACCTCAATAGATATTATTGGGTTTACTGCTGATGAAACAATGAATTCTAATACTGATAAATAAAAAAAGTATATTAAATTAGCTATACTCATCACTGTGTTGGTTTTTAGTTTAAGTTGTAAGCTTGCTCTGGTTAGAAGTTAGTGTAAATTACTTCACGTTAAAATAGTACGGTAATGGCTCTAATCTTTATCGATGTTTTAATTGAACTGTGAATGATATTTCACCGTGTTATTGTATTTAGAAGCTGCTATCATGTTTGGTTTCTATTATAATTTTGAACTTATTTATACACCTTTTCTGAATTCTAAACTTCTCAAGTATTTACGTTATTTAAGAATCGCATTTCGTATTTCTTAACTTAAGCGCTACCACTGTTCCATTTCTTTCTTTTTTCTTTAAAAAAATATTTATTCTGTCTAGTGTAAAGAGCTTTGTCAGAAACTTGCGCGTTCAAAAATCACACTATATGAAAGTACTGATACAGAGGATGAGAGCGATGTACAGCTATGAACAAAATATTGCATCAAGCTAGAATTTTCTAGCTTCACTTTATAAAGTCGAGTGAATCCTGTTGAATAATGTTTCGTTTAAAGGCTGCATGGAGAAATTTAAAGGCTAACTCGAACTTTCAGCGCCTCATTGAACATCCGAGACATTCATTGAACATTCATCAAAAAGTCTTGAAAAACTATTATAACTGCCGGTAGATTTTTATCATTTTGTAGTTTATTTGATTAAATTATGTTAAATAAAAGATGTGAATTATATTCATACAACATTTTTTATTCCTAAACTTCTGGGGTAAGGTAGAACTTTCAGCTATAGCTGTATTGAATTAACAGAGAGGTAAGACTTTTGTTAAACCCTTGAGACTTATTTCCAAATTTTTTTAGACAGTTTGTTTGTTTGTTTGAAATTAAGCACAGAGCTACATAATGGGCTATCTGTGCTCTGCACTCCACGGGTATCGAAACCCAGTTTCAAGTGTTGTAAATTCGCAGACATACCGCTCTGCCACTGGGGGGCGTGTGTGTGTTATCCCATAGCAAAGCCACATCGGGCTATCTGCTGTGTCCACCAACGGGAATAGAGCCCCTGATTTTAGCATTGTAAATCCGAAGACTTACCGCTGTCCCACCGGGGGACACTGCGGAGGCTTATTTATACGGAATACGCAAGCGAGTTATTATTGGAGTATTGCAACTTTTAATGTCAATACACCTTCTGTACACCTTAGAGTTATACTTAAAGACTGAAGGTCTTAAATAGTTTGTAATTAAAAAGAAAAAGTCGATACTTCTAATTCGTCTCGTTTCACAGCAATACACACATGTTTTGGTACTGAACGGTTACGACCAGCTGGAGTGTTTCAAGGACATAGAGCTGGAAGACTTGGAAGGACTGGGTATCCTCGAACCAGAGCATCAGCAAGAACTACTGCGTGCAGCAGACGTGCTCCTAGAATACATAGGTTAGATCAATTGGGTATTACCTTTTTTAGTACAGCTAAGATATAGTTTTACACATACTGACCAAAGTTGTAACTTCCAGATTCCAACCAAAGTTATAATCTCCAGATATCGACTAAAGTTACAATATACACATATTAACCAAAGATATTGGTTAAAGTTATAATTTACAAATACTGACCGAAGTTATAATTTACAGAAACTGACCAAAGTTATTATTTATACAGATTGACTGAAGTTACGATTTACAGAAACTGACCAAAGTTGTTAATTACATACACTGGCTAAAGTTACGATTTAGAGTTACTGACCAAAACTATAATTTACACTTATTGAATAAAGTTGTAATTTAAACTTTATAGATATCGACTACATTTATAATTTCCAGATACTGACCCGAGTTATAATTTACACATATTAACAAACAGGGATGAGAACTTCCCGCCAACCTACAGTTTCTTGGGTTTTTTAGGCACGCTACTGGCCATTCACGAGATTATGAAAATCTGTTGAGAAACGAATTTGGAAAATTGGAGGGAGGAGGGAGACTTTTGGAGGCTGAAAACGAAACTCTCTCCCATAAGCTGCGGAGAACCTTTGCTACAAGTTATGGAAGTAAACACTGGAGTCTGAAAGTTTATTTGACCAATGGCAAACAGTTTTTCTAAGTTAAAGTTGGGTCCGCTCGATAAATCGGCGCCATATTAGAACTAGCACATGTCTTGTTGTCAATGTTCGTTTCAAGATGAAAATATTGCTAAAAGTCGATTATCAAATTGCACACAATTTACGTGTAATTATCAAGGGCTATGAATAGTTCTTATCTGGCAAAACATAAGGTTGAAAGAATAATTTATTTGAAAGTTAGGTTTTTCTTCTAGTGTTATTAATAAACAAATATAGAAGATATCCAATATAGAAGCAGTAATGTTAATATTAATTCTGCATCATTATTAAACTTCCAGATTTTTTTCAGCCTCACCTATTCTCAACTCTGTTTTAACTAAAATCATAATATAGAGATATACTGATCAAAGATATGTTACAAATACTGACTAACTTTATAATTTATAGATACTGACCAAAGCTATAATTCATAGATATTGATCAAAGTTAAAATTGACATATACTGACCAAAGTTAAAATTATAGCCATTGACTAAAGTTATAATCGACACATACTAACCAAAGTTATAATTTACAGATACTAACCAAAGTTATAATTTACAGATACTAACCAAAGTTATAAATTAGAGATATTGGCTAAAGTTATAATTTGGAGATAAAGAACAAAATTATGCTTTACAAATACTGACAAAAACTTTGCATTTAAATCATAGACAGAATTTGTTAAATTTACAAGCTTTTTCATTTAAACTGCAGATTTCGAGAATTCAAAATTTCAGTAGTTAGAAGTTTGCAGGGAAATCTTAAGTCTGTTTAGGAGTTTATTATAGTTATTTGATTTAACGGTTGTTAGTGAATCTTATTTTTACACTGGCTTTCTTAGAGACAGTTCCCGCATCTCACCATGATATGGCCACACATCCTGAAAGAAAAGTGGTCATTGAAGAGAGGGTGGAAGTCGAGAAATCCGAACATGATTCTGGATATTATACCAGTAATGGACACTTGGTCAATGAAGAAAATGCAAAGGACAATAGCGTTGTATATTGTGTGGAATACCATAGTACCTCTAATAACGATTCCAGTGTTAAGGGCGACTTAGATGTTAATTATTGGTCAAACCAAAACAATCTTTCGAAATCATCAGTGAGTTCAAACAACACTAGGACAGAGCCATTATGTAACTTCGATGTTCCAATTAGCTGCTCTCACGATGCTGGCTTGGTCAATACTAAGCCTTATCGCGATGATAAACGATTAGCATTGAAGAATGATAAGACTGTGGTATTGAGAAGCGACGATAGTTGTCGTTCAAAAACTCCAGGGATTAAAAACGTAGAGAGTAGAACAGAAGCGAAAGAAGATGGTTCTTCTGAGAGCATTGTAAGGTCATCTTCTAAGTTAGCAGACTGCGAATATAATCCAGAGAGGTACATTCTTGTTGGCCAAGAAAATTACACACAACTTTCGAACTATTGTCCTTGTTCCACGAGTTCGGAATCGCGTGCTAAAAAAACGTTGTGCACGTCTACAAGAACAGTGGAAAAAACAAAATCATTAACTTCTCATGACGTATCCTCTGAAGTCTATTGCGGCTCAGGATCAACCAAGGAGGAAAGAAGTACCATCTTTCACAGAAAAAAGCCCCAAAATCCCGAAGACCCTCCCGATGCTCCTAAAAGGGGTATTAAAAAACATGGAAGAAACCATGGGTTCCAAAATTGTAACCCTCATATTTCACAGGACTTAAATGAGTTACCTCTTGTGAAGAGCAAACTAGGAAAAGAATCTGACCATCATCAGGTAAGTTCTAGCTATCAGCACTTTGAGAGCTGACTTGGGTAACTTAACATCTAGTTTTTGGTTGCAACGATACGGTATTAATAAGAATAAACAATAAACCCAATAAGGAAAATGCATCAAAATACTTCATTCCTATGTTATAGCCACTTTCAACATTTGCCACTAAATGAAAGCAGACTGATAAAATGTTAAGAGATGTGAAGCCCACTGGATTGTTAATTTATAAACAGCTTTACACTTACAATTGCGATAAGAGTGGGCCATCTTCAGTCAATGCAGGATTAACAACAATTACACTGTAATAAAATATATTTTCTTTGTTGTTGAGTAATTATATGTTGTTGTTTTTATCAGTTACAAAATTCATTGTACACAACTGACCAAAAATGAGTGAAGTTACTCATTTTATATGTAAAATACATAGCAGAAACTTACAGTAATTAGTAAAATTAATTGTAATGTTTATGTTTTTGTGTGACTGTTATATTAAGGACCCTATAAACAACAAAGCCATGGACATTGCTTTCAGCAACCATGTGCATGAATAGTTTTTCAAATATGTTTAAAATGTCGAAGAGGTCCTCATGTGCATGAACAGTTTTAAAATGTGTTTATAATGTGGAAGGGGGTCCCCCACAGGCAATTATAGAGTTAAAAAGAATGTAGCTTTTAAATAATTGATTATGCAAACATATGTGGAATAAGTTGATTGACTTTTGTAGGTTAAATTTTAATAACTGAGAGCGAATGAAAAAATATTATGAGATCATTCACTCATAAAAAACTTGGTCTAATTTCAGAACATAGATTTTCCAATCTAGGACCAGGTTTCAAACATTAAAGTGCTTAGAAAAATTGATAACACAAACTGCCAGAATACATAGATGAATGATATAGAACTGAATTTTTCAACATAAACCTATAATGCAAAAATCTTAAAATCATAATAAACTCATACTTTTGTGTAAAGTCTTAAATGTATTGCATATTTTGTAAATCTCTTGCACTCTTCTGTTTTAAAAATCATTAAATAGTGTAAAAATATTAATTCAAATTTATGTAAGTAGTAATTAATTTATGCTTTCTTTCTTCTGATTAAATTGCTGAAGTGTTGAGTAGTTCATATTTGAGTTTCACTGTAGTTTGATGACTTATAGATACACTTATAGAATGACTATCTTGTACTGACGATTACTGTATTGATTTAGTCCTAACATAAATCTTTTATTGTGGCTAAGCATTGTTAGGAATTATGAACATTACAACCGAAAACACTGTTTACAGTGAGAATACCCTAACATTAAATTGTACATACTATGTCTACTAAGCATATTATACTGTCTGATTAATTTACAAAATAAAGATGTCAACATAAATTCAAGTTTCCGGAAATCCTTTTAAACTTAAACTTGTTAACGAAATTTAAACGAGGCTAATATACCACACGTGAAAACTTGAAATTATGCTATTGCTGAACTGACTGTGTTTTCAAGTAAAATTAACGAAATTTAACTTCTTATTCTCAAACTTATTTATTATAATATATTGTATGACAGTCGGCTCTGTTTCAGCTGTTTAGACTTTACCATCTCGCTTCAACTCTTGCCCTTGCTCTACACAGCTATAGTGAAATCAATTATGGAAAATATTTCACTGTAAATGTTAGGTCTTCCAAACGTACAATTTATGTATGCAAACGAATTTAGTACAGCATGGCAGTAAGCCAGCTTAAAGAATTATCATAAATTTGTAACTTCTACAGTCCAGAAATTGCTGCGATAAACCTCAGAATTTAGCACCGAGAAATATCAAGGGACTGGAAAAGGATATCGATGACGTAGCGGAAGCTCTTGACAAATCTCAGATAAGCACACTTCAGCAGCAAGAAAAACAGAGGGTGAGTAAACCTAAAGCCATAAAATCGTCTGGTGTTTGGAAAAAAAATAAGTTTCGACTAAAGTTCGAAGCCCTTCTTACAGTAGAAAAGCAGTGACGAATAAACTACTTCCTATCATGGAAGAAAGACGTAAGTATTTTTTTTTTAAATTCAAATATAAAACAACTTTTGAAAGTTGTATTTTTTTATATCCTTATTGTTATTTAATTATTTATGTGTTGCCGATGGCAACGTACAACTGTTTGCCCTGCAGACATACAAAGTCCTTTCTTAATTAAAACTAATTTATTCTTTCTCGATACAACTTTTTGTAATATAAAGAATTTCCACAGTTACACACTTTACTTATGGTGCCTACCTACTGTTCGCTTGACTCAATTACCTATCTCTTCAATCTATCTGCATATCTATCTATCGCTGGCTTTGTTTACCGGGCTTATATACTAAAAAAGAGGGCGCCTGGCAAATACTTCGACATTCGCGGGGTTCCTCGATAATTCATGATTCTTCGAGAAACTCCAGCG